ACTTCCTCTTTGATGGCAGCTGGGTTAATCAGCATCCATTCTGCTCTACCTTCGTCTCGGCCACAACAGGCAAAGTAAGATGGGAGATGCGGCTCCACAGTCCACTGAACTTGTCAACGTCCATCTTATTGTAAGCGGTTTGGTTGCTGGAGGCCACCAGCCTTTTGCTGACACAGTCATGCACCGTCTCCTCCACCTCCTTCAGACTCTGGTCAAGCCTGATCTCCTCTTGAGGCAAGAGCACAGTAAACAACAAGAACACACGCTTGTATGCTGAGTTCTCGTGGTCGCAGTAGCGATAAAAAATGAGGGTGGAGCCCGGAGGGAGCTCCTCAAAGCGGTGAATGACGGCCGCGGGTTTGTCTCCTTCAAAGGCAGCTTGCAACTGGCTGTCAATATCCAGCTTCACCTCATCGCTGTCCTGGCTGGCCTTGCTGGCTCCATCGATGTGGAGGACGGAGGCGTTGAGGGCAGACGAGTAGGATGATGCCAGCCCCTGAGCCAGGCAGCGCAGCGTCTGCTCGGCTCTGAAGCCAGCAGTGAAGATCAGACTGACTGGCTCTGTGGGATGGGATGTATTGAGGTGCTTCTCCAGGTGGATCTTGCTCCTCTTCCACAAGTCAGGCCGCTGACTGGGGAACTGAGCCTCAAGAAGAGTCAAGTACTCTGCAAACTTTTCTGGCTTCACAGCTCTGGATGGATGCTCTCTGCCATCTGCAGCCCTCTGGAGTACAGGAATGATCTTGTACGCCAGCAAGACGGCAGACGAACTGAGCAGCAGCAGGAGAACCAAACGCCAGAAACACCACATGAATCCTAACAGGACACAAGACGACATGTCAACTGTAGCACAGTCAATAATGCAGAACTAGTATCTTTGGGTGTGATGATGATGTAATAAAATAACTGTGGCTTACCTCTAGAGGAACGTCCTGAGCTTTTCTTGATATCAGCAGTTTTCTTTATCACTTTTAGAAGAAAAAAATCTCATTAAGTCAATGTTAAAAATGTCTAATTAACATGTTGCTAAGCGCTGTAATATTCAGCTGAAGCTGCAATACCTTGTTTTTTGTGCGGAACAGTTTCTTTTTGTGTTGGAATGTTATTCACACGTTGTCGCGTTGTGTAGGTTTTCTCTGAGGCTGGTTTCACACTTGGGACACGGTGGTTAACGGTCGGTACACCTAAATATGAGGCAGAATTTTTCTTTATTGATTGATTCCATTTTTTAGAAGCGTAAATGCATTGAAGAAGCGCTCAATTCAATTTTGTTGACTAAACTAAATAGAAATGTCTACATTACCTGAGCTCTTGGCTTTGGCCTCCATCGTCCTCTTGTACTCATCCATGCTGGTGACCTTAGGAATGTGCACATCATGTCTCGCTGCTGGTGATCTGATTTGTGCGACAGACTTGGTGGAGGCAACAGATCTTTTTGTTGATGGTGTTACTGAAAATAAAACAGGTCAGACAGATTATGACGACTGTATTATCCTCTCTTAACGTGATAACTCCCTCGCAGAATGAACTTGTGTGTTTTCATACCTCTCACGGGTTCATTCATAGTATGACAGGATCGCCAGTGTTCACTGAGCAAAACACGAGGGGATAAATTCACATCTCCAAGGGCATCTGATTTATACAGAGGGAAAACCTTTATGAAATAGGTGCAAATACGATGTCTTGTTTGTCATTTGATAGCTGCATGCTTTCTAAAACACACACACACACATTTTCTCCCAAATATAATAAACAGTTGGTGAGCCCCAACTGAGATCTGAATTAAAAAGACTATAGCTAATTCATTTTAAAATTAATGTATTGCTTCATAACATGTAACCTTGGCTAGTACTTAAACAATTCATTGATTAGCTGATCATATGAGGACAAATTGCAAGGGCCATTTTCCCTTTTTTATATATGATCAAATTAATAAAAAACAAGCTACATGAATAGATTATGAGGCCAGTCAGAAGCTGCAGCTCTAACCGTGGCATATGTTTGGTCGATGAGTGCCATGAGAGGAGTCCTGCTTCATAATATCCGTTTCCTGGTCTTCAGTTTTCTCCACATCTTCAGCTGGTTCTTGGACATCCATCTCATTATTCTCATCACCCCCGCCGCCAGCTTCTCCTCCAGTCTCCAGTCGACTCTTCTTGCTAGGGGACTCTGTTGAGGGGGAAATGACATTCTTTTCAGCATTTTTACACCCCCTTTAAAAGATCAGACTGAGGGTTGACTGTTAACTGGAGCATCCCACCACCATCCTCTGAGCCAGTCTCCTCCTCCTCTCTGGAACCATTGACAACTGGAAGAGGAGCTTTGTTATCCAACCCTCTTTTGGTCCTCTTTAAGGGGCCCCTGGGAGTCGGCTCGAAACTCAATACTGAGTAAGAAACAGAGAGACACAAGTAACAGTGAGCGAGGGTACGCTAAGTTAGTTAACGTCAACGTAACGTTAGAGCTCACTGGCGCGCAACTCCTCAACCTGAGAACAACACCGATAAAGTCAGCCATTAGACTCTTAATCAGAAACAGAGACTGTGTTGTTGAACTTTGAGTGAACTGAAAGCAGCTAGCTTCGAAGGCTAAGCTAGCTCACCGTCAACAGTCGCTGTGCTTACCTTTACCTGACGACTGTCGCGTGGACCGTCTCAACGGGCGGGACGACGTATTTTCAGACTCCCGGGAATCCATTTATGATGCGCTACAACGCGAGCTACGCCGAAAAAAAAAAAATACAAATTAAACAATACGACGAAACATCGTGTTCACGAACAGACAAGCGATTGACTTCCTTGCTCAGTTGTTAGGGGAAACCTTTAGTGACAGGACGCCGTTGGTGGCCGGAAATAAGTTCCGCCACAATTTAGTTGCCTAGGAAACACGGACAGTGCCCAACGTTCCGCGCTCTGTCAGTCGGGCGGACGCAGCAAAGATAACTACAAAGATAAGGAAGCATTATGTCGGTCAAACTCCACGGCGAGGTGATCAGGGTACACTGGGTAAGGATTGGTGATTAGCAACCACTTAAAAATAGGTAAATTAAGTCACACGACGGCAGTTCGTACAGACTGAAGCCATGTAACGTTGTTGGCTAAAGTAGCGCCTCTCAGCCGGCTAGCCTGACGTTAGCTAGCCTGTGTGTTGTTGTTGTTAATGTGCTAACGGTAGCTGGTTAGCTCACGAACAGGTTGTGTATGGTGGGTGCCCTTAGCTTCGTTATACTCACTGAGTTATTAATGTTAAGGTGATATAACGTTAGCTAACTAAGCTCGCATCTTACATGGTCTGCTCACACAGCGTAAGTTTAAAATATTATCTAACGTTATCAAACGACAGGAAACATCGAAACTGATGATCCAGTGATTCCAACTTGGAGTTTGAATATTAGCTAATTGTTAATTGTTGTGTTGTGTGCTGACAGTTTCACTAATCGAAACCCTTTCATGTTATCTGTATCAGGTCATTATTAATTTAAAACCATTTCTTTGATTACGCAACGATCATTTTTTTGTACTTGATCATTTCCGTCTTGATTGTTTGATTTTGATTGATTCTCAGTCTTAAACTGTGCTATAATCGGAAGTTAGAGTGCTTGGTACATTTGTATTCTGCAATAAAGAAAACAAAAGTGTGCTCCTGTCTTGGTATAAAAACAAATGTTATATATCATTTTCTTCCTGCAGCTTTGAACCATCCAATGAACCATCTTGAGTAAAGTGCCCCCATTCAAAGACATGACAGAGCATAACCCCCGTGACCAGCACACAGCAGGTACTGAAACATCATTAAAGATCAGATATTAGTTATATTGGACTAGTATATTTACTTTGCATTTACAGCAGTGGTTTAAATGTAAGTGTCAGTCTTTACTTTTTTATCAGGTGCCAAGGCAGAAGAAATGGAGTCAACAAATATGGATCATGTCTCAGCAAGTGATGAGAGCAAACAGGAACAGACTGATAGGGATCAGGATGTAAAGCAGCAACACTCAGAAGGTAAAATATTCAAGCAAGGTCAATAGTAATCCACCAAATGTGTGTCTGCATCTACAGCACTAATCAAACACGCTCTCTGTGTCACCTAACAAGATTCAGCTTCATCATCTGCATCCACAAACAGAGAGACTAAAAGCAACAATGGTGAAGACGTGGAGCTGGCTGAGAGTAAGAGTAAGTAAATAGAACAATATCAGTGATTCATTTCCATCAAATAGTCTCTCATAAACAAACATTAAACCGTGAATATACTGTATATATGCAGTGTGTTGTTAGTCTGGTTATTTATTTTGTATTAATGTGTTATAAATGAACATGTTAAAGAAATGTATGTAGAAGAAAAAGCAAATGGTTTTGATCATATGCCAGATCTGGAATAGAAATGAAAATATATATGTATTAGAAACTAAAAATGAAATCTTAGTCATTCAGTCAAACTATAACTTAGATTACACTTAATTTCCGTGTTTACTGCAGACGGGGATTCAGCCGAAGAGAAGGCGGCGCCTCTTACAGACGGATCCTCTTCTCCAGATGAGGCCAGCACTGAGGAGGACAACAGCACCTCACCTCAGACTAATGACGGACATCATGGTGATTACAACAGAGAAACAGTGACAAATAGACAGCCAACCATGATAGGTAAAGAGATTTCCACTGAGTGTTCCTATCAAAGTGTTATGACAAGTGATTCAGACATTATTCATTATTTTCCCACTTCTTTATGAGCCAGGTCAATTACATAATTGTATACACTGGGGAGATATTTTCAAAACATTTACAGCAGTGGTATTAATTTATCTTTTATTTACTATTTTTTATCAGGTGTCACGGAAAAAGAAACACAGTCAGCAAATATGGATCATGTCTCAGCAAGTGATGAGAACAAACAGAAAGAGACTGATATTACTCCCATTGTAAAGCAGCAACTCTCAGAAGGTAAAATATTTAAGCAAGGTCAATAGTAATCCATTCAGTGTATCTTTACCAAATGTGTGTCTGCATCTACAGCACTAATCAAATCTGTGTCACCTAACAAGATTCAGCTTCATCATCTGCATCCACAAACAGAGAGACTAAAAGCAACAATGCTGAAGAAGTGGGATTGGCTGAGGTTAAAAGTGAGTGAATAGAATAATAACAGTGATTTCATTTCTATTAAATATTCTTTCATACACAAACATTAAACCATGAATATGCTGTATATATGCAGTGTGTTCTTGTAGGTAAATGTGACACAGGATGTCTTGTCTCTTTCTACATTTTGCTGTGCTCCCTACAGTGGTTTGTCAGTCTTGTTATCTATTTTGTAATACGCCACTTACAGAAGGATCCTCTTCTCCAGATAAAGCCAGCACACGGACTGAGGAGAACAACAGCACGCCACCTCCCACTGATGAAGCAAGTCATGGTGATTACAACAGAGAAACGGCGAGAAATAAACAGCGGACCGTGATAGGTGAAGAGATTTCCAGTGAGTGTTTCTATCAAAGTGTTTTGACATTCAGACATTATTATTCATTATGTTCACACTTTTTGAGTCAGGTAAGTTATATTTCATTTACTTTGGAAAAACATAAGATAAGATTACTGTTTACTGGGAGCAGTGCTGGTTGTTAAACAGTCTGAC